CACCCAGGCGTCCCGAACTTTACTCTTTCTTAATGCTCTTGCCTGTCCACAGGCAATGCTGGGCTTCCTGAGCCCTTGCCCCCCATTCCCCTGCCCCGTCCCCCTGGCGGTTTCGCCTCTAGTCACATCACAGTCACAGGCTAGGATCCGGACATCTTATCTTAGTTGGTGACTCTGGAAAAGGTGTCAAAGTATCATAGTCCAAAAATCACTAAAATATAAACAAACCAGGACCTGTAATTAAGCAAGGTATCTTTCTCTCTCTAAAGGGGTAGCCTTACCTGACAAACGTTACATTTCCCTTACATACAACGTCTCTGACTTAACCACAGGGCAAGTCTCACTTAGGGAAGTGGTGGCATCGTTGTGACCAAATTCGATCACCCGCCAGGCAGCACGGAGAGACAGTACTTCAAGTTATTTGGGAGGGCGCCTGGGTGGCTCGGTTAGTGAAGCGGCTGCCTTCAGCACAGGTCATGATCTCGGGGTCCTGGGACTGAGCCCCACGTCAGGCTCCCAGCTCAGTGGGGACTGAGTCTGCTTCTCCCTCTCCCTATGCGCCTCTGCTCGTGCTCTTTCAAATAGAATCTTCAGAAAACAAATACATGAGAAATGTGTCCGTGAACTTGATATGGGGGCAGCCGAGGGGTCACCGTACATGGTGCCACTCCTGTCTCTCTACGTCAGAAACCCCGGCAGACAAGTTTATGTTGTACTTTAGAGCCGAGATGCGCCGGGGAGGGGCACCCGCACAGCTGCAGGGGAAGCGCGGAGGCGTGGCGCGCAGTGTGCGGGTTAGCGACAGCCACCGCGGACTATTCCCTTCCTCCGAACTACTTCCCAAGTCCCGATGAGCTACCTTTTCCCCCAAGGCCCGGTGGTGTGGCCTGATCAGCCGAAGACATGGTATGGAGAACGACAGCCTCCTGTTCTGGTAGGTGGATCGTGCTGAGACACGGCCATACCCGTGGGCTGAGTTCTCCGTGGCAGAGTCCAGTCTGTGACCAGTCCCCCCTCCCCCCCGACCCTCTCAGAAGCGTGCTGGTCCTCTGCCAAGCCAACGTCTCGAAACTTCGAGTCCATCCGTGAGTCATTCAGCATCGTGACTCGAAGTTTGAAAGAGAGGAGGGCCGGTTGTGACACCAAATGCATTACACGTGCGCGCGTGTACCTGCTGCGTCCAGATGTAAAACACACTTCTTACGGTGGGTGGTGGTTTACGGAGCAAAATTACTTCAACCAGTAATTCCCCTTGTAGAAATCCTCCCCACGACACACACTCGCTAGGGGCGAAGAGACAGACGCCCAGGGAGAGCTGGTACAGCGCCGCGTGGAACGGCAGGGGGCCGCCCCTGTCTTGCTCTGGATCTTGCCCCACTGTGTACGACGGGCACTGTGGGCCTGTCGCCTTCGGCCTTTATTGTGGTGAGGTAGTTCCCGCTCTACCCACTTCGAGAGAAAATTATCGTAAGCGGATGTTGAATTTTGTCAAATGCTTTTCTGGACCTACTGAGATGATCATATGATTTTTATTTTTCACTTTAAGGTGGCGTATCACACTGACTGATCTGCAAATGTGGAACCACCTTTGCGTCCCTGGGAAAAGTCCCACCCGATCCTGGTGTAGAATCCCCCTAATGTAGTGTTGGCTCTGGCCTGCTATGTTCTATTGAGGGTTTCTGCATCTCTGTTCATCCAGGATGTTGGCCTGTGATCTTCCTTTTTTGTGGTGTCCTTGCCCGGTTTTGGTATCGGGGTGTTGCTGGCCTCATAAAAGTAGTGTGGAAGTGTTCCCTCCTCTTTCTTTTTTGGGGAAAAGTTGGAGATTAGGTATTAAATCCTTGAATGAAGTTCAGTAGAATTCATCAGTCAAGCTGCCTGGTCTTAGACTTTGGTCTGCTGGGAGGTTTTTGGTGCAATTTCCTTAGTAGTAACAGGTCTTGTCAGATTTTCTATTCCTTATAATTCAGCTTCAGAAGATAGAGTTTCTAGGAATTTGTCCGTCTTTTCTTGGGTCGTCCAGTCTGTTCACAGCGTTTCTCTTACGAGACGGAGAACTTCTCTCTCCCTTTCGTTGAACCTGAAGTATTGATTTCGGTTATACCCTTTAGGATCCCCTTTAGGGATCCCACTAAGGATCAAGGTTCATTTTAGAAAGCCGGGTGGCGCCCACCTTCAGTTTTGGTACGAACCATCTTTACCCGGTCGGACGCATCATTCAGGACCTGCGCGACTCTGGCCAGTAACCCGAAGTCGGCCTGAGAGATTTTTGGGGCTGAGGCAATGTCATGACAGGGAACACACACAAAAAGTAAAACCCCAGAGTGCACGCGGGTACCCCTAGAACAGTCAGTTTATGATGTCAGGGCACCCCAAGCAGGGCACATGGGTCAGGCAGTCCAGGTTAAAAGGTCTCCACCCAATGCACTCTGTCTCTGGGAGTGAGCACCAAGGGCCCCGCTCTAGACTGAAGATTTCTGTCCCCTCTAAGCTGGCATGCTGCCATCATCCACCATCGTGCATGGAAGAGGGGCCTCTGGGAGGCTTGGCCCTGGGGCACAGATTAGTGCGCCAACCAGGGATCTGAGTGCCCCCCACCTCTCCCGCCTGTGACCCACGACACAGACCTCACCAGCTGCCGAATCTGCCAGAGCCTGGACCTTGGACCCCCGGCCTCCAGAATGGTGAGAAACAAAGGTCTGCTGTGGAGAAGCAGCCCGGTCTGTGCTCTTGTGCTCCAGCCACCAAACGCACGAGAAGACAGGGCTTCTGCCCAAGGGTTTCCAATTGCGCCTAGAAAACTGGCTGAATCTTGGTTTCGGAGGGTCTGCCTAGAGACAGTCGGATCCAAACAGCTGTTTGTCCGCGACGCCAGGTCGTGGGCCTCACGGGCGTGGAAGCCGCGTGCGGCGTCGTGTGTGGCAGGTGTAGGAACAGGGCGGCAGCCCGGTGGGACTCCAAGTCCTCGCAGCGGCTCAGAGAGGCAGTGCTCAGAGCGCACTGCTCAGAGCGCAGTGTTTTTCTTTAGGACAAGGGAAGGCGCAGTGTTGAAAAAGAAAGGTTATTACGGCTGCTCCCCTTCTCTCCTCCTGAGGGGCTGCGGTTTGGGGTTTCTGTTTATTCTTGTTATGAAATCAGCGTGTGCCGTTTAGCAATCCTAACTTTACTTTTTAAAATTGTCCCTGCTCTCATCCAGCCCCTTTTCTGATCTGAAAAGGATGTGCACAGGAGGGACAAAGAGTTCTTACTGGAAATATCTTTATGTACCTGAACTAGACAGCCATATCATGTTTAGGGATTCGTCAGGATAAAATCCTGAGTTTTCAAAAAATTTCAAAATGGGTTCATACAGCCACTCCCTCTACCCTGACCACTTACCTAGCAAACAGCCTAGAGAAGATGCGCCTGTGTCTGCGGGAGGAGAGCGGTCTGGCTGCCAGCCCCCAACTGCACCAGTCGTGGCCGGAGCCACCCTGAAGCACCCCGGGGAGGGGGGCACCGGGAGCAGCAGGGGCTCACAGTTCTGGTGACGGGCTTTCCCCCACTTGCAGTTTTGGCAAGAATCACTGGTTACGGATTCAATCATTCCCCGTATTGGAAACGCAGAGCCGATGAGCAACTCAACACAGCCAGTCCCAGCAGGAAAAAGCCCTTCCCAGGGGCACCTGCAAGGAAGCCAGGCCGGCCGGTAAGCGTCCCTAACTTTCATGGTGTAGGGGTCTGAGGACAGTGTCCTGACCTGTAATGGTTCCCAGGGACAAGTCCCGTTCCCTGAGCCTCCACCTCTCAGTGTAGCAGGGAGGGTGGCAGACGGCACCGGGTTTCAGTCTATGAGTCAAGCCCATCCAATTAGGATTGTGAATTCAGGATTTAAAAAAAAAAAAAAAAAAAAAAAAGGCCGGGGCATTTCTTCTGGCCGGAGTGAGGCTGAGATGCCTCGAGGCCAGGAAGCTATGTTTCCAAGTTCAAGCAACATGTGAGTATTCCCTAAACCCTTTTCTTAAAACCTGCTACAAAATGTGCACATCAGGCCGGATAATCAGCAGCCTCGATGGGTCAGACATCTGATTTTACAAGAGCTCATTAGTATCTAAAAACTGCTTTTTAATACTTTGAAGTCCCCCTGCAAATGGTCTCTTTTATGTCATCTCCCTCACAGTCTCCCAGCAGTAACCTTAGACAGAGGCGACAGCCGTCCGGGGAGATCCCAGCGAGGACAGGGTGAGGGGGGAGCAGGGATGCGGGCAGCAGCGAGAGAGTCAGTGTGGTGTCCCCCCTGCTCCCCTTCCTACTTGGCTCAGGCCTGGAAACCTTTTAACCACATTCCCTCCCACGAGGAGGAGAGAGTTTACACTTACACGAAAGTTTAGCACTTTCGGCCGCCCCCAAACTCAACTTTGGGGATTTGGGGGGCTTTTCTCTTCTTGCCGGGAGGAGAGGACAGATCCGGGCATCACCTGGGCCACACTTGGTCCCCCTGATGTCTGCAGCCTGGCGGAAACAGCTGGGGGATCCAGACGCCGGGTCTCCTGGAGCCGGATCGACCGTTCCGGATCGTGTAGGCTGCTTCCCCTGTGACAACAGATGACAGCCCAGCGGCTCCTCCAGACCCCAGATGAGGGCACAGCGGCCGTGTCACATGAGGCGACTGGATAGGGTGCTTGCTACTGTCTCTGCCAATTTTAACATTTATGGATCCCTATGGGTTCCCGGATGAGGGGACAAGCAGGGTCAAGAGGGATCTGAACCACCTTCTCTCGTTCCCGAAAGGCAACCAGGTCACCTCGACAGTGTCAGCGTGTCTACAAGACTGGTGCTGCCTCTCCGGCTTCCACACCTGGGCGAACCGTCGGGGATCACGCGAATGTGAAGACGCCGACTCCGTGCACCGTGGCGGGACCCTCCGTGCGGTGGGCGCGGGACGCATCCTCCAAGCAGCACAGCGTCCCCAACCATGGGCCCGTCCGAGAGCCGAGCTGTGGCAGCTGTGAGGGCAGGGGAGAGGGCCGGGGAGCCGGGCACCCACGCACAGGCCACCGAGGCAGCGGCTCCATTTGTCCTGCCTGCCGTCCGGGTCCAGCGGGGCCTGGCGCTGCCCCTGCCTCTGGCCGCCCAGAGTCGGCGAACTGGGAAGCTCTTTGAGTGCCCGTTAATCTGCTCGACCTTATTTCCTAATCTTGTGATTTCTTCCCTCCGTTTCCTGTGTTCAGGTCCTACGATTCTGATCTAGCTCCGATCTCCCACTTGGGACTCAAAAACTCCCAAGGCAAGTGCGTGCCCGTGTGTAAGTTGGCGGAACGAAATTTCCAGAGTGGCAACACAAACGACTTATGAACAATTTTCAGAGCTGGGGGGGGAAACGTCGCTCAGGCATTGCTTTCTTTCAAGAGCAAGTTCCAGGCTGTAAGAAAATGAATCGGGAGCCAGGGAGACGATCGATCGTGGGTCATCGGTGCGCCCTCTCCCTGCGGCCGCGTCGTGGTCGGGGGCACGGTCGGAAACTGCGCCCACTCGGAAGCCGCGGACCTCGGGGAGCTCATTCATTCCTACAGGACACGGGGCGCCATGCTCCCCTGACACAAAGGCCTGTGCTTGCAGGAGACACACAGGCAGCTGCGAAAGCGGACGGTGAGGACGCTGGGGCCATTTTTTGCTCGAAGGATCTGCGGAGAAAGCGGCACTCACCTCCGACAGCGCTGAGGAGAAGTGATTGCAGTTCTTGTGCATGAGGTGGTAGGCGTTGCCCTTGTACTCCTTGCCCAGCTCCTCCACGATCTTCTCGATGTCGTCCTCCAGGAAGTCCGTGCTCCCTAGCACTACAGCTTCTCTTGAAGAAAAAGGAGGAGGAAAGAAACACGATCGTGTGAGTCTTAAGTATTTCTAAGATATTAAGTATTTCTTAAGTATTTCTAAAGAGCACGTTTAGGGACTGGCTTATTCCCGGGAATACTGTGACTGGCCTAACAAAGCCACAACAAACACAACTACAAGGTCAATGAGATACTTTTCAAAAGTTCTGTGGAGTCTTGACTTTCCTACAATAAACTCCCGAGGTGCGCTACTTCTGAATCATACAGACGCAAACCTGGTCATTTTCTTGATGGAGCAGTGTGTCGTGTATTAAAAATGTGACAACACGTTATTTTCCAAGGCCTGTGTATGCCGTCAGGTTATCAGAGAGCCAGATCCATGTCGCAAATTTTCCCGCTCAATTATGCCAGTCACCAAAGGGCTGGCCACAGTCACGTTCAGAAATTGTCTTTTATGTCATCTGCTTCTGTGCCACCATGAGAGGAATTAAAACCAACCAATCAACCAACCCCACCAATTAAAAAATAACCGCCCTGCACCTGACTCCCAGCTACCCTGGACTTACAATAGACGTTATGCAATAGAAAGCAGAATTATAGTCACATACAAGTTAGGCATCCAAGAAAACTGAAAATACTTAGAATATTTAGAATACCCTTTTATCAGTAGTCCTGTTAAAAGGGAAACCTAACGATGGCATTATAGTGACCGGCCAAGAAAACCGATGAACTTCATAGTGATAAAAATGTGTAGCCCCTGAGGCGCCTGGGGGAGCTCAGTTGTTAAGCATCTGCTTTTGGCTCAGGTCATGATCCCAGGGTCCTGGGACTGAGTCCTGCATCGGGCTCCCTGCTCAGCGGGGAGCCTGCTTCTCCCTCTCCCACTGCACCTCCCCCTGCTTGTGCTCTCTCTGTCAAATGAATAAATAAAAATCTTAAAAAAAAAAAAAAAAAAAAGTGGAGTCCTATTCTGAATTTCAAGGTTACAACCTCATTTCACCACTTTTTTCTTGGCAAATTAACGATCACAGGCCCAAAAGTTTCTTTAAAGCTCCTTGAACCTAAGGTTCTAAATAGCTCTTCAAATACAAACCTTCATTAAAAAATGGAAATTGGATCATCAAGCATTCAAATTCTCAGTGCTGCTGACTACTCTTAAGGCTCCAGAGTATTCTGGTGTATCCAAACATGTGATATACACACACCTTACTAATAGTTTCTCAGCCAACCAACTGTTCAGTTATTTCAAATGTATAAACAGTGTCCCTTTCATTGGGAAAAATGAAAAGATTAAAAAAAAAAAATCCTACTGAATGGGGCACCTGGGTAGCCCAGTCGGTTAAGGGTCCGACTCTTGATTTCAGCTCAGGTTGTGAGATCGAGTCCTGTGCCAGGCTCCACAGTGAGTGAGGAGCCCGCTTGGGATTCTCTGTCCCTGCTTGTACTCTTTCACTCTCTCTTAAACAGGAAAAAAAAAAAAAAAAATCCTGCCCACCATTTCTTTACTCTTCATGTATTTTTTTTTTTTAATTTTAAACTTCATTTGAGTTTAAAATAAACTGTATTTGACAGCCAATGTCACGTTAGTTTCAGGTGTACGCAGAGTCAACAGCCCCATATGCTCTGCTCACCACGAGGGTAGCTACCACCTGAACCATACAGACACCTGTAACTGCCTTCCCTCTCCCCCCACACGGGAGGTCGAGGCGAAACCACTGCTCCGTACAAACGTCTTCTAAAGCAGAACCCAAGTCCCACCAGGTAAGAATGTCTTCAAAGTACACAAGGGAACTTACGTGGCTCCTGAATACAAGTAACAGACTAGGTTACGTCAGGCATTGCATAAGGCCGATTCCCATCTTTATACAACTTCAGACAGATTCGGTTTTAAACAGTCAGCAACTACAACACCGTTAAAGAAACATTTTAACTTCCTAGATTTTCATCTCCAGAATGAATTCTGTATGCTTGTAAACACGCTTTGGCACCTAAGATAGCATAATAAAAATTATCCTCCCTACTTACTTAAATTTAAATGTTTCTCCTAGTTCAGAAGCATTTCCTGGGGAAATTTCAAATATTCCAGAAAAGGGGTAAGGATGGCCACCATAAGCAAATTCTGAAAAGAGAAAACTCATGATTTTTAGTATTTATCACACAAAACTTAATCAGAAATGCTGTATTAGCTTTAATAAATGATGAGGATAATAATGATACCATCTAAATATTTTGCAGGTTATCAATACTTTCACAAACATCTCATTCGGCTGTTACTCGTACACAACAGTTGATTCAATAAGGCCTGAAACCACTAACGAAAGATACTGAGAGGTGATCCTGATTTGTCCACGTATCTTGTGTACGCTGGTGAGAGCAGAGTGACTACCACGGGGGAATGTGGTCTCTCTGCCTAGTGACTGTGCCGAACCAAGTGGGTGGTCCGTTCCACGTGTGTCTTTTTCTAAATTAAAGCGGTCAGATGTTAAACTCGCACTTTACCAGAAAAGCTAATAACAATGATTTTGCACAGCTCCTGGGTTGAAGACTGTTGGTTTACCTTTGAGTAAGAGTGAAACATTAGCAAGACTGAAAAACTGAATTCCATTCCCCTCATTCAAGAAAAAAAGAAGCTGCCACATTGACACATACACCTACACACACACTCTCCACAGCACATCTCTGAGCCAGGAGGGGATGGCGCGTGCTACAGGCTCACGAGAAATCAGCTCTGACCCAGAACAGAAGCAGACAGTGCTTTCAGATAAGGAAGGAACTAAAATTCCTGGGAGGAGATACTTAGATCGTGGTGGACTTATTTTCAAAATCACAAATGTTTAAATGAATCTCCTTGCTTACCATTTACTAAATATAATTGTGAAAGGTCAACGAACAAGGCAGACACCAAGTTTCCTTTTGATCCAGACCTTCCAGAGAAAAAGCAAGGACGTGGATAAGAAATAAAGGGCCTGGCGTTCAATTTTGAAACAGTCAAAATGATCTTAACGACGGGATTTTATAAAACAATGTAGATAATCACGTCAGACGTGAAAAGGTAATGTTTAGATTTTTTTTTTTTTACTTCAATTCCAGTAAGAAAAGTCGTCAGCCATTTATTCCAGAAGTGTCATTCCACTTTCAGCAAGATATTGACCTTAGCTTGGCCAAGCCTCCCTGAACATGCTTGGACCGCGTTTCTAATTATTCCTAAATCCCTTTACGGAGGGGAGGAGTGATTAGACAAGTGCGAGGGTACTGACTAGTAGGCAAGAACACTTGGGTTCAAGTCCCCGTTCTACTGATCAGCAGCAGGACTTTCAGCAGAGCTGAGCTTGGGCTTCTTTGTTTGCAAAATGGAGCAAGTGCCAATTGTCCCCATGTCCTTCTCTATGTCACAGAGGCATGGTCATGTGGCTCAGAACTGGACGGCACTTAAAATACTGGAACACACCACAGAAATTCAGTTAAAAAGCAACACACACAACTTTGGTAGAAGCCAAATCAAATAGGGGAAATAAACCCACAGACGACGATGCGGCCCACAGCAACAATCTGACCGCTAACCCTTCGGGCAGGGGAGGATTACTTGGTAGATGCAGCCTTTCCAGTAAGATGGAGCTCACGGGGCGGATCTCCATAGCAAACATTTTCTATGCTACGCCGCAGCCAGGGGCAGCTAATGTGGAGCGTCAGGAGGGGACAGTATCAATGCCCCCGACACACTGGGGTATATGAGCCTTTTTCTCGTGTTCGCGCAAGCTGGTCTGCAACCTCCACGGGTGGCTCCGGGCAGGCTGCCATCACGTGTTCTTGCGGGTCTGGTACAGAGACCGCCTGGCTGAGGCAAATAAAAGACGTTTCTGCTACAGGGTGAGTTTATGATGCAAATAATACGGTCTCACAGCCCTGCTGGAACTGGCAGTGTGCTCTGCGTTGTGCTGACAGTTACCACTTACGGTGCGGTCTGGAGGAAATTACCCCGCACCAACAGTGGGAATCAGAACCAAGGGAAAAGCTGTTGATAACGAGCTGCTTGGCTTGAGTGGCTCCTGTCGTATTTAATAAAGGACCAAGAAGACTAAAAGGGCTGAGTTAATGACAAAGGCCATCATTCCTGAGCAAAAAGCTAGATGTAATCAAGGGTGGGATTTGCTCTGTGATATTTTTAAACTTTGAAATGACATACTTGCAAGTCTATAAAAACAAATTTAATACTGAAATTCCCTCAGGAAATTGGTTATTTCAAGTTTGACTAGCACCAACTCCTCTCCAACCGTAATGACCAGTTTTCAACGTGCAGGTTTTCCTAGGAACTCCAGTATCACTGGCACAAGACTGTCATGGTAAGACCACCCCAAAAAGGCAAATATCTTTTAAGACCCTGTATTTGGAATAAAAGATAACTACATGAATGTACGGTCACGTACTTTCTCCCCAAATACATTCAACTTTGGGCACTTTCTCAAAATACAGTGTAAACGAATGTGGGGAGATTTTCTTCTCCTTTCCACAGTAATGTATGGAAGCAGCTGAAAAAAACAGGAAGTGCTACAGACATGAACTGCAAGTCCTTTAAAAGAAAACAATCTTCAGAAAGTCTACTTAGACTGTATGTACACATACCTCTGCCATATACTTCAATGCCCGAATGAAAAACGCCAATTCCGATGGACGAGGTGTATTCGTTCATCCAGTACTAGGAAAAAAAGAAGAGATTCAGAATATCTGTCCACTTACCACTTAACTCCACGTGATAGGAAACTACTGCCCCACATCCTTCATGGAACAGTTAGGCCCTTCTGGCTTCATTTCTTAGCATTTTTCCTTCTGGCCCCCAAACTCAACAATAATGGCTCATTTGGTCCTATCTCTGCGCTTCTGCTTGTAAGACATCCCATGTGTGGAATGCCTCCCTGGGTCAAAATGACTGCCTCAAGTTGTAAAGGCTTAGAGCATAAGCCATACAGTCTAAACCTGGTCAGGTTGGGGGAAAAAAATGGATATAAAAGCTCTCCTGTGATTAAAAAAAAAAAAAAAATCACACATAGCATATGCTTTCATATCTGTTTTTTTTCTATCTTAAGCCTTCCCTTTCACTCTCTGGTGAGCTCCCTGAGGACTGGGCTATTGTATTTTTTCAAAAACGTTTGAAAAAGACATATAAGACATATATGGCATGTATGTCCTGATTCAGCTCAAAGTTTGATAACGATAATACAAGGAACAAATAATATGAGGCACAAAGGCTACCACAATCTTACCAGTGACATGCAGTAAACACTCCCAGAAAAGGCGGTATCTGAATTTTTAGGAACAAATGAGGTTCCCCCAGGTAGAAAATGTAGGGGGTGTGGTAGAGTGGAAGGGAATGGGGAGAAATGTCTAGAAGGGCAAAGAGGGTGCATCAAGCATCACGATGTTGATATCTGGGGTGAACGTGGAGGGGTGCCAGGAGGACTGGAGAGGGTTTACCTAGAAGAAGGCAGTAAATGAGTCGACAGCTCATTAAACAAACACTTAGGCAACACTTAACAGTGTTACAAACCCATCAAGCTTCTTCTAGATTAGAGGATAGGTAATTTGGCTTTAATGTTTCTGGGTTTATTCAAGTCTTAGCCTTGATTCCAGATCCCTAGCCAGTTTCTTCCAGACTTCGGGAAGTGCATGTTTGCATACATTGCTGGAGGAAGCATAAATGGATAAAGTCAATTTATTCTGTCCTAAATGTACCTGGAAGAAAAATGAAGCAATAATCAAGAAATATTTGAAAGAGAACAAGGAACTTTCTCATCTAAATATCAATACACTCATTCACAGGACGGTGCTGCTTTAGGACAGATCCTTGCACGTGTAAGAATCTGGTATCTGATCAAGATGGTGTTTAGGAACAATGTTAAAGTTTAAACTATTAAAAAGGTGTTGACAAAACTCATGCATAAAAATACGTTTCATGTATCTAAAAATTCTGGTGTGTCTAAAAATAATCATAGAGAAGAAAATAGATAAAAAAAATTCTTAGATGGAAAAAGATGACCTAAGTAAAGCAAAACCTAGAGTTTTTACAGGAAAACCACAGATATTCAACAAAAACTTCAAATTTCTTACTGTGTAAAACCACATGCACAACATCAAAGGATGAACAAAACACGAGGAGAAAAGATGAGAATGATAATATGCCTCGCTCTCTATCAGATTCTATGTGCTTCCTGATTTAGCACAGCCTGAATTTGGACGGCAACTTAGGGATATTATCTGAATTGATTTGATTTTGGGTATTGTAGTGAGGGTACATACAGAAAGGGATTTCTCAAGACTTTATCAAATCTACTTAATTCTACAGTTTAGGCAGCAAAAATTCAGACAGCAAGGGATACCATACACAAAAGCTCCATTAAAATAACTCCTATGGGGCGCCCGGGTGGCTCATTCAGTTAAGCGTCTGCCTTCGGCTCAAGTCATGATCCCAGGGTCCTGGTATAGAGCCCCACATCAGGCTCCTTGATCTCTGGGGAGCCTGCTTTTCCCTTCCCTCCCCACTCATGTGCTCTATCTCTGTCTCTCTCTCAAATAAATAGAAATCTTAAAACGAACAAACCCATAGACAAGTGAGCAATCATAGAAGAAATTAGTGGCTAACAAACATGAACTAACATTCTCACTAGTAAACAGAAAAATACTAATGAAAACAATAAGCTACCATTCTTTTTTTTAGTCCATCAGAGACTGGCAAATATAAAAAATATTGCTAAATATTGCTGGTGTTGGTAAGGGTGTGAGGAAGCTCCTGCGGAAGTGTGAATCAGTAACAGTTAATCAACCATTATACTTCTTGGGCATCTTATCTACAGAAATACTTGAACATACGCAAAGACATTTTCTGGGATATTAACTGTTATCTATAATACTGAAAACCGAGAAACAACACAGATATCGGTAATGGAATGGTTAAATAAATTATGGTAAATCTGTATTATGAACTATCATATAGCTACTAAAAGAGTAGCTATGTATAACTCGATACATATGGACATAAAAAGATCCCTAAGACGTATAAGGTAAAACACCAATTATGATCCTTTATCTGTCATGTGGTCGCATATTTGCAAAATAGATAAATATGTCCTTTGTGTATATTTTGTGCTAAAATGGAAACATACTACAAAACTGTCGTATTTTACTACACTGACTACAGCAAAAGAAAGTTTGAAGGATATAGACCAAACTGTTAACAGTTTGGGAAAGGGGTGCAGACATAGCAGGGGAGGGAGTAGAGCAGTAGAAAGGGCTTTCACTTTTATCTGAAATATTTGAAAAAAAATTACATTTATTGAGGTATAACTGACATATAATATATTGGTTTCAGGTGTAGAATACAGTGATTTGATATCTACATACATTGTGAAATGGTCACCATTATAAGTCTAGTTCCCATCTATCACCTTACAATGTTAATACTATGCTATGGACTATATTCCTGCATGGTACAATACATCCCAACGACTTATTTACTTTATAACTTGGAAGTCAGATCCAAAAAAAACATTAAGACCAGTATCAAGGAGCTTATCACTGCCTATGTTTTCTTTGAAGAGTTTTGTAATTTGAAGTCTTACAATCAAGCCTTTAACCCATTTTGAGTTGATTTTGTATCTGGTATAAGACAGTGGTCCAGTTTCATTCGTTTGCATGGAGCTGTCCAGTTTTCTCAACACCATTTGTTAAAGAGAGTGTCCTTTCCCTATCTCTATTCTTGCCTCCTTTGTTGTAAATCAACTGACCAAAAATACATAGGTTTAAGTCTTTGAGCTCTATTCAGTTCTAATGATGTATGTGTCTGTTTTTATGCCAATACCATACTGTTTGATTACTGTAGCTTTGTAGTATAGTTTGAAATAAGGGAGAGTGGTATCTTTGGCTTTCTCCTTCTTTCTCAAAATTGGTTTGGCTGTTCAGGGTCTTTTGTGGTTTCATACAGATTTTAGAATTATTTCTAGGTCTGTGGGCAATGTCACTGGAATTTTAATATGGATTGCACTGAATCTGTAGATTACTTTGGGTAGTATGGACATCTTAATATTATTAATTCTTTCCGTCTTTGAGGACAAAATCTTGCTATTTCTCCAATTTTTTTCACGAATGTATTATAGTTTCGAGTGTACAGGTCTTTCACCTCTTTGGTTAAATTTATTCCTGGGTACTTTATTCTTTTTGATGCCATTGTAAATGGGATGTTTTCTTGATTTTTCTTTCTAATACTTCATTAGTGTATTAGAAACTGATTTTTATATATTAATTTTGTATCCAGCAACTGGACTGAATTCTAACAGTTTTAAAACAGGTGGAGTTTTCCATATATGGTATCATGTCATCCATAAGTAGTGACAGTTTTGCTTCTTCCTCTCCAATTTGCATACCTTTTATTTCTTTTTCTTGCGTAATTGCTATGGCCAGGAATCCCAATATGATGTTGAATAAAAGTGGTTACGGGGGCATCCTGGTTTTGTTCCTGATCTTGGAGAAAAAGGAGAACAATGTTCACTTGGTCTCAAAGTACTGAACCCCACATTTCTCTATATTATAAGGAAAAAAGGTATCTTTTAAAAAAAATTATATTTATTTATTTGACAGAGAGAGAGAGAGACTACAAGTAGGCAGAGAGGCAGGCAGAGAGAGAGGGGGAAGCTCTGCTCAGCTCTCTGCTGAGCAGAGAGCCCCATGTGTGGCTCGATCCCAGGACCCTGAGATCATGACCCAAGCCGAAGGCAGAGGCTTAACCCACTGAGCCACCCAGGCGCCCCAAAAAAGGTATCTATGAAAAAAATATGGTGACTATCACTTTATGTAGATGATTAAACACAGTATCACTAACAGCTGGACAAACTGATGTTATGTACCTCCTGATGTGATAAAACAGAAAGGCCACAACATTTCCTTTGTTAGTTTTGTCAGATATGTTTAATAGAATATAATCATAAGAAAAAAAAATCAGTAACTGGACTGTGGGGCTTTCTATAAAAAAAGTAACCTGGTCTCTTAAAGAAATAGTGATATAAAAGTCAAAAGAAGGGTGGCTATTCTTTAAAGAAGATGAAAAAAATTATGACAACTAAATGTAATGAAGGAACCTTGACTATATCTTGGGTTAAATCCCCCTCTCCCTAAGACATTATTAGGGGAAACAGTAATGGAAAATTTCCTGGGTGTGATAACAGTACTGTGGTTAGGCAGAGAATGTCTTATTAGGAAATACATGTTGAAGTATTTAGAGATGAAATGCTGTAACATTTGTGACTTATTTTCTGCATGGGTGTGAAAGTGACTGTGTGAGTAGGAGAGGGTACGAGAAAGCAAATATAGTTAAAAACTGGTGAATCTAGGGGAAGAGTACACACATTGCACTCTTCTTTCAAGTTTTTTTTTTTTTAAAGATTTTATTTTTATTTATTTCAGAGAGAGCATAAGCAGGGGAGCTACAGGTAGAGCAGGCAGGAGAAGCAGACCCCCTGCTAAGCAGGGAGCCGATGTGGGAGTGGATCCCAGTAGATCATGAACTGAGCCCAAGGCAGCTGCTTAACTGACTGAGCCACCCAAACGTCCCAAGTTTTTTGTTTTGTTTTTTAAGTCATAAACATTTTCAAAATAAAAAGTTAGGGGGAACTGAGGAGAATGATCTAGTTCTCGTCTCCTTACAGCAGA